GAGAATGAAAGCCAAGATGGATGCATTTCAAGAAAAGGTGGACGACAGACAAGAGGAGGTAAAAGCCTGGGTGGGTTCCCTCACCCCTTGGATCATTGCCAACCAGGAATAGATAAAGGCCATGTTGGTGCCTGTCTAGAAGAGATGGAGGCAAATCCAGGAGAGCAGAAATCCATATTCTTAACAATTGCCTATTGCAATTTCAAATTACATAAATGTGTGAAGTAATTTCGTATAAACTATTAAATCATTCATGCCTTGAGTTTAGAATGAGACATGAAAATCTTGATATTTGAATTATTTGAATAACATTCATTAACTAGCTGAAACATAGTGTTATATTGTTTTTACTGTCCCTGCTAATTTAAACTTTGCAGAAACTTGCAGATTCTTGATGCACACCTTCCTATAGACAGGAGTAGGGAAGTGAAAGTGGGTTAACAAAACCTTTGCAGCCTACTAGGCATGAATAACTTTCGGAAACAAAACTGCAAGTGTAATTGGTGCAAAAAGTTAATGGTTAATTAAAACTCACTCATCATGATGAATGTACTGGAAGAAAGGCCCTCGTTTAATGCGGTAGTTTTTGTGTGTACACTGTTAATAAATTTATGGTTATATTAGTTTTTGTTGCTCTTATAAAATCCTTGTTATAAGCCATACTTATTCTACCTCGGTTTGACTGTAGATGATGGTGCTATTGATGTGAATGATGTATAACAATTATGGTTGAATCTTGACCTGGGTAATTTTGTAGACCCTCCGTCAGGTAGTCCAGATGTGGAATGCCAGCTGCTGGAAGCTGCGAAGGCAGGGGACTCTGAACAAGTGCAACGACTGCTTACATCATACCCACAGATTGTCAACTGCAGAGATCTTGATGGAAGGTAGGTGTTCATGCTTTCAACATATTACCACATTTGTGATGGATAACATGAAATAATCCTATAATAGAGGGAATAACACAAAGTTTCCTTGCAGATGAAATATTGTGGCCTGAAGAGTCTAAGTAAATATTATTACAGGTAAGGTTAGCACGCCGGTCACGGTAACCGAGCAGTCTAAGGCATGCACCGTCTTCGCTCGCTCGGAAGCCGGGATCGTGGGTTCGAATCCCACTCAGGGCATGGACGTTTGTGGCGTTTTTCTGTGTTTGTCTACAGGTAGAGGCCTTGCGACGAGCTGATCACTTGCCCAAGGAGTCCTACCGTATGTAAGATCTAGTAAACCGAAGTGAAACGGAGAGTTTCATGGAGGTAGGCTTAGGCCCAAATTGGGGCTGTAGTACCACAGGAAAAAAAAAAGGGGTTAGCACAGGCACAAGTAGAGAACTGAATGTTATATTAACTATAATGCAATGGCACACTGCAGGTACAGTTAACACCGATATGGTTTTACAGCATTTAAGAACAAGTAAACATCTCTACCAAATGGGTTGACATAGCGGTAACATTCTAGACCTGTGTTTAGGAGGTGCTCAATTTGAATTCAGCCAGGATACCAGCTGTTCTGACTGAGGTTTTTCATAATTTTGCTCAATTCGTTGGGCAGATATCAGGATAACACTGCAATTTGGCCATAGCTGCTTCCTTCAAGATCATTTTCAGTTCATTCATCTAACATCATTTGACACTATGTTTTAGCTACTGTCAGCTTCATTAAGTCACCCAGTAAAAAAAAAAGGGTTTCAGTCCATAAATTTTCCTTCAGAAAAACAAGACTTAAATTATGAATTTCCTAAAAAATACCATTGTATAGAAAAATGTATAATGATGGGGTATTATAGAGTTCATGACTGTGTTGCTTATTATTTGGAAAAGAAAATCAGTATTATTTATGTTTAATGAAATATGGAGGAAAATTATTTATCCCTCAGTGTGTTGTGATGTCTGTACTAATTTTTGGCTTTATGAATGGTAGAATCTAGGCTTTGCATCATGTGTATTGTGTATCAGAGATAAATTGGTATCTGCAATGAATGAATATCAAAATAGTAAAGAATACACGTGCAAACTTTTATATACCCCAAGCCACTTCCCTTTTACTTCATAAATAAGACCTGCATGAAATGTTAAAGATAGTTTGTTATATTGATAATTCACAGTGGCAGTAAATAGATACTCAGTGCTGCAGAATGCAGTCATTATTACATATTAGAGTATTCACACCTTTCATGTGTGTATTTCCTTGCATCTTTATCAGTGGTATAAAACTCAGTTATTTTGCTCTAATGACATCAGGTAGCTGTAAAAGTAAAGCTTTTATGTCAGTTTCATACTTCAGGGCTTAAAGTATTGACACACAGAGATATAAATTTACTCCAAAGTGTAGCAGGTATGTATGGTAGCCATAGCTGTTAACACAATATGCAAATATTGCAGTAGAGGCTCTGGTTGTATTTTAAATTCCCATTGCTCTATTTTTTAATTACTTAAGTAAATTTTCATTTTTAAATTGAAGTGTTATTTCTTCTTCAAATTTTCAGCCACTGTAGGCTGTATTA